CGATTCCTCTAAATTGTTTCTATTTCACCAAATCTAATTTTTTTTGAAAATAAAGAGCTGTCGCTGATGGTGTGGCCAGTGTGACATGCATGCACCGCACACTGGCGCTCACATCGCTCACTTGAAGGCGAGTGAGCGCTCGAACGCCGCGAGGAACTTACAAGTATGCACCTTATTTGAGGGATGAGTTCTCCAGGGACACCTCCGGCGAGAACAACTACCATCACACATCCTCGTTTGAAGATGACCTTCTCGAATTCGATCGTGGGGCAGCCGTTGCTCGGCTTGATCGCACACAAGATGATCTGAACAAGTTCCGCCAGCGCATCGACAACAATGTCGAGCAACAAAAAGAGTACAGCGAAATGATGGCAGCACTGCAGAACAAGGTATGACAATCGTTTTGATACCGTACACAAAAACTGCTCGACGGTGTATTATTCACAGTCAAGAATACTTCTTCAAGGGTAATGATTCTTACTCTTCAAGGTACATGAATATCGTAAACACATTGCGGAACTCGAAGGAAAGATGGTTAGCGCAAGAAGAAGGCAAGCCGAGGACGGCGGATTTACCATTCTCGACTCGAACGTTTTCCAAGATACCAGTAACAGCTTGTGCGTAGAGTCTTAACAAAAATATTGAAAATGGTGATAACAAGGATATTTTAGCCGTGATCTGGAAATGTGGAGTCCAGCTCGTACACGCGGCACAACTACCAATGTTGTCCTTGCTGGTGATCCAAATGCTAACTACGAAATGATCGCCCGACTTGACGAGGAGCGTAGAAGGTTGGCGAGAAAATCATAGAAAAGTTCCCTAAAGAATAAGCTTTCAGGGCTGATGAATATCGCATGCAATGGGAAAACGAGAGGGCCGCTAAAGAGAGACTGGAAGATGAAAATGAAAGGCTCCGTCGTGAGTTTGACCGCTACGATCGTGAGTACCGCGACAAGGAGAGAACGTTCGTAAACAGAGAAAGGGTAAGTAGCGGCGTAAAAATGCCTAGTGGGAAGTGGGAGCTAGGGATGATCGCATAATTGCAGAATCTCGCTCAATATCTAAGTGATGAGCAAAAGAAAATGATGGACATGTGGACGGAACTCCAGCGGGTTCGTAAACAATTCGCTGAACTGAAGGACCAGACCGAGCGCGACTTGGATTCACAACGTAGCGAATTCAATCGCGTACTCAGGAGTGTGTCCAACATCACTCGTAACATTAACATCACTGGAGGGGATGTGAGTGGAATTTGCGGGAAAAAACCTTACGATAGAACAAAGGACAAACAAATCCTCGAATTTCAGGCAGGCTCCGCAGGAGTGAGTGGTCCTTCGCTGGCGGCACTGCTCACAGATCTGATCAGTGGAGGAAGTCATACGGCCACGTATGATAGCACCATTATCGAAGCTGTTAAAAGGTACCGAGATCGTACTGGTGCTGCTGATGCTGCCGCAGATCGTTCTCTACTCGAAGAGTTGAAACAGATTCGTGGTACTGGCGGAAGTGAGGGCGATGCGGAGCTGCAGAAAGAACTTATGCTCAAGTGAGTATTATAGTTAACTGCATCCTGAATGGGATAGCGTTATTAGAAAAGTTAAAAATTCTACTTTATCACCAGTCATATTATAAAGATATATCCCAGGTACGAGGAATCCATCGAGCGCAACATCGAGCTCGAATCGAAGGGTGATGAAAGCCAAAGGAAGATCGCCGATTTGGAAGCCGAGCTGCGTCGTGTCAAGGAGAAACTCAACGATGCCACGAACGCGTTGATGAAAATCCACGAGATCAGTCAGGACTCCGACAAGCTGATTGAAGGAAAAAGGACTCGTTCATTGTCTCCGGGTAAGCTTAAACGCAATAGTCTTGCAGGGTTATTCTTGGAGTTCACGAGTTCTGCAATTCCAATGGGCATATTGTTTTGCTCATTGTGAATACTAGCGATTCTTCCATGGAAAAATACGCATCATCGAGTAGCGTGCCATGTGCAAAACATCAACATGACAATCGATTTGCGAAGCAGCACACAAACACCCCACACACTTTAGGCAAATCCCCGTTGCCACCATCTGAGGCGCTACGTTCCGTGAGAAACGCGCTACGCAACAAGGACAATGACATCCAACAGCTGGAGAGGAAGCTCAAGATCTCCGAGAGCCAAGTATGCACTTTTAGACCATTAATGGAAAACTGGTTACATAGTAATGGGCAAGTGAAGACCAGATAATTGCACCTGGTATATAATCTCAAGAAATCAAATTGCAGGTGAAAGAGTTCATGACTAAATTCGAGACGGCTGACGACACTCGCCGACGTCTCGACAAACAGCTTTCGGATGCTAAAAGGGAGATTGACAACCAGTGAGTAATCAACATTCATTAATAGAAGAATTAGTATATTTATAAAATGTTTACAGGCAGAAGAACATCGATGAGCTGGAGCGCAATCTGCGTCGCGTCGAGGATAAGCTCCGCGCCTCCGAGTCGGAACGTCAAGCTGCCGACAAGGCAAGGAAGTTCCTTGAGGAAGAGCTCGCTAAAGTTCAAGCGTAAGTAAAATACGCTCGATGTACTGGACCCCATGGGTATTGCAAATCCTTCAGTTCCTATCAAAAATCAACAACGGACGATGTGCGAAAGATTCGCGATGAGCTGGATGAGCAAACCAACAGTATTGTTGAGGAGCATAAGAATAGGTTAGTGCTCTTTATCTTTTTCCCAAATGAAGTACTACCTTTGATGATCTACCCACTCCAGAATTACCGAGCTAACAAGGCGCGTTGAGAACTTGCTTCGCGAAAATACTAAACTCAAAACGGATATGGCTCCACTCAAGGATAAATTGCGCGATATGGAGATTGAATACAATAACACTTTGCGCAGACTTGAGGAGAAGGTAAGCTAGTGAAAAAATTGTGTTTACATGCTATATTGTTATGTTTCAGGATTCTCAAATTAAATACATCGAAGAAATTCGCAGAAACATCCAGAGAGACCTGGATGACCAACGTAATCGCAATGATTTATTGGCCGGCGAACACGACAAGCTGACCAGTGATCTGGATAATGCGCTGAAGAGTACACATCTTGCAGAGCAGCAGCTGAAAGAACTAAAAGGACAACGCGACGACTATCAGTAAGTGATGACGTCATAGAGGACAAACGAAGGGCACAGCGTACAAGGATTTTCAGTTGTTTTGCTTTTGCAGGAAGCAGAAAGACGATCTGTCGCGTCAGTTGTTCGATATTCGTCATAAGTTCGAAACGGAGCAGAAAACGGTGCATGATCTGACCAAGAGTGAATCACGTTTCAATGATGAAATTGACAAATTGAAGCAGACCATCGACGACTATGAGCGACAGGTAAGGTCACTGACAACATTGCAAAGGGTGTTGCGGCTTCCAAACTTTCATCTTCAAGGTTATGCTTCTGCGCAGAACCAATGATGAGTTCGATACAACGATCAAGAACCTTCAAGGAAAGATAACCCAGCTTGAGAATGAGGTTCGATCGAAGACTAGCGAAGTTGAGAAGCTCAACGATCTCAACCAGAAGCTGCAGAAGGAGAAGCAAGAAATTATGAAGTGAGCTTGTATCCTCAGAAATGAGTTCTCTGAAAGTAGGAGTTTAAAAATTTTGTTTTCAGCCAGAAGCACAAAGCTGACGCTGACATCCAATCCCTTAAGGAGACAATTCGAAAATTAGAACAGGAACTAGAGAAACTTCGCAATGAAAATAAAACCCTTGAAGCGAAAGAGGAACGTGCTCGAGATCTGCATAATCAACAGCTTAACCGAGCAAATCTGCTATCAAAGGAACTCGACGATTCTAAGCATGAAATCACGGAGCTCAATGGTGAATTGATGGCAGTACACACTCTAGCAAACCTCTTGAATCTCGAATGCTTTCAGATAAAATCAGAGCACTTGAACAGGAAATCCGCGATTTACGCGATAGGATTAAGGGAGTTAAGGTGACAGATAAAGTAAATTTAAAAGATTACCGCATGTAAGAGCAAATAGAAAGAAAATGCATTTCTAGGACACCACAAAAAGTAGAACCACCACAACAACTATCACGAGAACGATTCGTCAAGGACCTGGAGGCGAGACAATCGAAGGTGATGAGGTTACCATACCTGGTTAGTAACGGAACTATCCCATCTTTCCTTTTCTTTCTTTTCTTTTCTAATAATGCATGGAGATTTCCAATTCTGAGAGCTGCTTCCTATTTCATGCAGGATGGCTTTACAGATAAGGGACATCAGCGATTTGGGCCAAACTTTGTTAAGAGCGATTCATTACAGGTTCAACAGATACTGACCGTACAGTTGACCGATACCACGATGATCTCCTTTCTGATTTGCGAGTCAAGGAAATTAATGATAAGTGGAAGCTGCAGCTCGAGAAGCTTGAAAACGAAAAGGTACGAGGGGCGTTTAACATACTGCAATAACAACAGCGTACAGTGACCATAA